CTCTCTCTCCTATCTCTTCGTCTCCCACCACTGCCGTCGTCGCGAGGTCACCCTCTCCCCTTTGCCTCTCTCTCTCGTCACCAACTCCCCTTTTCTAGATATGGTTTTTTAATGGTACCATTTTTCTTCTGGTAGCGTACCAGTGATAGTGGTAGCGTGCCACTATCATCTGATACCACAACCATATGTTTTTTTGTGTTATTCTCTACTGGTACTGCTACCAGTGCTAGTGGTACACTATCATTTGTATGCTATGTGTGGTAGCGTACCAGTGATAATAGTAGCGTACCACTATCATCTGATACCACAACCATCTAGCCTGGATGAGTGTGTTTCGTTGGCGAAACTCGCGTGTTCAATGTGCACTGGTTTTCAAGTAAAACACAAAACACACGTCAGCAAAAAAAACGTCAAATATCCGCCGCCGGTGTCGGCGCCGTTGATTTGATCGATTAAAACAGAAATAAAGACGATCGTCAAATGGCCGCCGCCGGTGTCGGCGTCGTTGATTTGATCGATACACCTTTGACTTCTAATCACACAACTGTTATTCGGTTCAACACCTCTCCAAACTACGTTCGAACGAGGGTGTTCGAATAAACAGAAAATCGAACCAGGAGTGTTCTAAGTTACGTTACCTCTACTCCTATGGAGGTTCCTCTGGAGAGCTCCTCGACTACGACTACAAGCTACGATCTACGACTCTGCAAAGGAGTTCTTTGACAGAGCGGTTCTACGAACTAGAGAGAGAAAAGATAAAATCTGCGACGGTGCAGTTTGTGATTTGATTTTGCCCTCCTGAACTTCTCTCTCTTCCCAATCTTTATACTTCGCGCTTCTCCCCGTCGTAGTAACTGCCTTGGCGCCTTTGTCTCCCACGTCTTCATTCCTGTCAACCGTGCAGGTAACTTCCTCCTTGTTGCGTGATAATCACGTGCCTTCGAAACCGCTCTTGCTTTGCAGAAACTTGGCGAAACGACTTACAACCTTGTCCATGTAACGATGACGTTTCACCAATACCACGACATCGCCTTTCACCAACCAATGCCGTTTTATAATCCAACTCAACTGCCCCGACCCGGTTTAACCAACGACATTGTTAGTCCATCAGACAACGTCGTTCTCTAGTCTTGCGCTGTCGTTGGGCTTGGCGGGCCACTTTTGGCCGAGCTCTTAACCACTGCGATATCGTTTTTAATCAAACGATATCGTTTATGATACCGCGATGTCGTTGATACCTCCTGCGGCATCGTTTAATCTGCTCACGGTATCGTTTCTTTCCTTTGCGGCATCGTTTCCAACTAACGACACCGTGCTAAAAAGTCATTAAAATATTAATTAACTGACCATCACTAGTCCACGACCAACAACATCGTTAGAGCCCAAAACGGCTCCGTTTGTTTTTCCTTTTGCGACATTGTTTTTCATTAAACACTGTCGTTTGCTAGTCCGCGGTACCGTTGGGCTTACTCGCGGTACCGTTTTTAATTCCGCGGCACCGTTTTAGCTCTCCGCGATACCGCTTATCTCCATGCGGTACCGATTTTCCCCTTCCAACAAGGAATAAAAGTAATAATTAATTATAAACAAACTCCTTTTCCAATACTCAACTAACCGCGCGCCCCTTTTTTATTTTCGGTACCGTTTCCAGTACCGCGGTACCGCTGAGCTTCCTTGCGGTACCGTTTTCCTGTTTCGCGGTACCGTTTTAACTCTCCGCGACACCGCTCGACTCCACGCGGTATCATTTTTTCCCTTTCCGATAAGGAATAAAGATAATAATTAATTAGAGAAAAAACTCCTTCTCCAACACCAATAACAAAACGCGCGGCCACCTCTTATTTTCGGGCGGTGTCGCGGTACCGCTTTTTCCGTTTCGCGGTATCGTTTTAACTCTCCGCGACACCGCTCAACTCCAAACGACACCGTTTTTTACCCGCGGTATCGAATTAAATGCCGAGACTAATTAATGCGGCATTTAATTCAGGACAAATTAATTTTAGGTGTCAACAAATGCCCCCCACAATTTGGTTTATAAGAATTATGAACCAAATTGTTGACATAATCCAAAACACCTAAAATGAACATTAACTTCACCTAAAATCTCCATATTGGCTATAAACTTCCATGGCTGTGATTATCACGGTTGCCAATTAAATTGGACACAAACCATTGCTTTGGTTCTTTTTGTTGGGTATGAAGAAATCCACAACCACCATAACGTTCCACACATCCAGATTGGCCTCTAAGTAATCCCATCATTATTTTGGCTCACCATTCCAGGTAATGGTGCGGCGAGGTTTAGCCAAGAATAAGTAATGTATTTGTTTCTATCTTGGCTCTTATTGCAACGAGAAGTGAACAATCCCGTTCTAGTTGGGAGCAATAATGATTAAAAAAATAATAATAATAAAACCAACCACTAACCTATTCCGGGGAGGAGACAGCCGAAGAAAGAAAGCCCCAACGCTGCTAGCATTCCAACCCAACCCAGCCATGTTTGAGTCTAAACAAAACTCGAATCATTGATTGGTTTATCGCGGAAGTGTTTTTGAAATAGTTCTTTAACCGCAAACCTGCAGAGCTGCATTATCCGACACGTAGTGGAACCGAAACGCCAACATCTTTTTTTTTTTTTTTATATTATCATCAGGCCTGCTAGCAACGGAGGCAGCGCTGAGTTTTTTTTTGGATTAATAGGCATACAAGCCCCTCAACTATGCAATGATAACAAATGAGCCCTTGTACTAAACTTTTAACGAAGGAAGCCCATGTACTATGGGTGGATAACAAATAAGCCCTTCTGTTAACATTCTCCGTTAACTAATGTGAATTAGGACATGAAATGTCTAAATTAACCCTAGCCGCTCACAATCATCTCCTGACCTCTCTTCTCCCACCTCTCTCTCTCTCTCTCTCAGCGCCAGAAAGACGATTTGTCTTCCCTTCGAAGAAGTCGAATAACCATTAACCACAAATTCGTTCCCCTCCTTCCTCGAATCACTTCTGTCTCTATCACCCCTCCCTTCCTAGTACCTCTCTTACTCATCTTCCTGGAAGCGATGAATGAAGCGGGAAAGAAACGAAAGATCAGGACGACAACTAGGAGGCGGCTGTTGGCACCGACAAGATATAGAATGTTAGCCTCTTTCATTTGCATGTTTTATTTGGTAATTTCAAACTCTGGTCATCTTATTCTCTCGCTCATTTTTTTGGGTTTTTTTCTCTGGACCGCGGCGGCGAGCACAGTCCGTCGATATTGTAATTTTCCTTTTTAGGGTTTTTAGTGGTGAATTTTATTTTACCTGGGATTGTGATTTTTTTTATGGGTTATGATTCTTTTTTCTGTCTTATTTGTGTCAACGAAGACATTGCTGCCAGCGAAGAATGATTAATTTGGCTTTTGAATTTTGAGAAAGTTGGAGAGAAAGCCACCTGCGGAGAAGGATTTAGGTTGGGAGTAGAGGAAGAGAGGTTGCCAGGCCAGCAGGGGGAAGCTCAGGGGTTTAATCGGCCGTGGGACTGAGAGGGACTAGAATCGACAACGTCTGGGAACTAATAAGAGCGACGGCGGCTTGGAGGGGTGAGGACTGGGGTGGTGGGGCTGGGTTTCTCAAGGGCTGTATTCATATATTCGAATACTCTGACCACGGCAGCGTCGTCGTCGGTAAGTTGCTGCTAAGATTCTGTATCAAAGATCTTTACAACGGCGGGGTTTTTACACCTCTACTTTCATTCTGATCCAATTTCCTAATCGTTGAAGTCTTGAAGACACTCATCGTATGCCGAAGCTTCCGCAACTGGGACAAAGTATTGGACGAGAGCTACGGAGGGAAAATTACATTCTTAATGGAGATCCAACTTGAGATGTTCAATTGGGAGACCAGGGACTCACCAAGATCTTCGTTTACTCATGGAGTTTCAACATTACACACTACAGGGTACTTTAGACATTTTGATTCCTGATAAAAGTTAATTAACAGAGAATATTAACGAAGGGGCTTATTGGTTATCAACCCAATATACAGGGGCTTCTTTTGATAGAAGTATAGTACAAGGGCTCATTTGTTATCTTTGCATAGTTGAGGGGCTTGTATGCCTATTAATCCTTTTTTTTTTCTTCACCAGAGCTGTTGGCCGCCCTCTCTCTACCCTTATTATTATTTTTTTTTTATATTTGGGTCATCAGTGCTGCTAGCAACAGCGGCAGCTATGACTGCCAAATTTTTTTTTTTTTTTTATCAGGGCTGTCAGCCACAGCCGCAGCGCTGAGAGGCTCTTTTTTTTTTATTATATTTTATACCATTGCGGCCACGCTTAGGACCTCCAGCAGCACTGTTCATCATCCAAACAATCCTGGTTTTTTTTCTCCTTCTTTTTCAATTCGTCATCAGCGTTGTTTTGGCCGCTCTTTTTTTTTTTTTTATGGTATAATAGAATAGTCATTTTGCTTCTGCAACACCGTGCCCCCCCAACAATGTTGTTGATATGAAAAGAAAAATAAAGCGGCACCACTGCTACGTGGCTTAGGCAAAAATGGCCATGTTTGGTCATTATTTCCTAATCAACCATTATCAAAGAAAATTAAAAGTAAAGCCATGTTTAATCTTGGTCGATAGTGTGACTATCTCGACAACACAGTAATCGACAGACCATGTTTAACAACTCTGGCTTAAAGAAAACAATCCATTTAGCCAACACAACCATACACCAACAGCCTTGACTAGGTTAATGCAATGCCGATGGCATCTACGTAGCTCAGTCATGCATGAATCTAAAATAAAAAGCGATAAACTGGCTATACAACATGATTGCAACATATCAATGTTTTATTTCCTAACATTCACACGTAAAACAATCTTTGAAGCCATTCAGAATCAGAGTTAACTCGTACCTGTCAGAGTCATGCAAGCTGGCAATATGAACGTTGAATGTGGATCATCCTTCCCGCCAAAGTTGATTTCGTCCACAATGTCGCAGACATCACACTGCTTCCTCTCCCAACTTGTTACTCGCATCCTCGCCGTTGATCGGCAACCCCTCTATCAAGGCCGTGATTTCGGCCTTCTCCACCCTCTCTTGAGGTGGCTTACTCTGATTTTGGTGGACCACCTAATGCAAGCATTGATGGTCTCATGATTTCGGACAATGGGTCCAAGCACGCCTTACTCAACACCTGTGCACTTGACACTATGACGTTGGTCGTTCCTCCATCCCCGCTCCTGATTTCGAGTGGTCCAAAATCTCCATGGTACAAATAAGCTTCAGCAACGTTGGCCCCAACGGCAAACGGCTTTGTGTCAGCCTGTACCACCTCAACAACACCATCTTCATTCCAAAACATCAAACACTGATGCAGCGATGAAAGAACACACTTGTTGGCGTGGATCCAATCCCGGCCAAGTAGTGCGTTGTAGCTTATCATTCCATCCACCACGAAGAAAGCACTCATCCGCTTCTGTGATCCAACTCCCACGACCACTGGGAGGATTCCCCTAGCAGAAGTGGACCCGCCATTGAAACTTGTCACAAACACTTCTGTTGGGATCAAGTCATTAGTGTTCTTGCCCAACTTCTTCAGCATCCTTGTTGGCATCACATTTACTGCAGCGCCATTGTCAACTAAGACTCTCGACATTGGTACGTCATCAAGTGTGGCCCTGATGTAGAGAGGCCTCAAATGACGCATCATCTTCGGTTCGGGCTCGTTAAACACAACGACCCTGTTTGATTCTTCACACGTGGTTCCTTCGTCCACGGCTTTCGCTTTCGCTTCTGCAGCCTGGATAGATTTCTCCAGCTTGTCGAAGTCTGATTCCCATGTGATATTCTCCACCGGCACACTTGTTGACTCTTTCGGGCCTTGGTATAACACGTAAAAAGGATATCTTCCCTCATCTTCGCCTAGTGGCCCAACAGCTTTGTGGCCTGCTTCGTACAGCTCTTTCAGGATTCTCTGCGAACTCTTGTTCTGCCTGGCTGACTCTACTGCCAAGTCAATCCAACCATTCGTGCGGGACATCATTGCACTCCACGGCTCAGCCTCGATTGGCAGATCCGCAGACTCGCCAACCAGCTCTGCCGCAGCTGGCTCCTCATTCTCCTCCTCTAAAGTCAGTTGAGCAAAACCGCTTACCAGCTCAGCAACGTTGACCTCTTGAGCAGCCTCGTCCAACTCCTCAACCTCCATCACGACCTCGCCATCCTCTCCCTGATTTTCCAAATCAATGTGGAAAATCAAAGGCAAGATGTAATTGTTCACCACAACCGGTGGTAGACTTCCAAACTGGATCGTCATGGGTGCACCTTGGTTGTCATCATCGTCATCCCTGTTTTTCCGATCGAATTTCGACTTCGGCTCCTCCAACTCCAGCATCTCCTCTTCGATGAGGGAGTCATCCAACTCAGCATCGTACTCAGCCTCCCCCGGGACTCCCTGATCGTTCCCGTCCAGGTTGTCCTCGACCACTTTTCCAGCACCGGCCACAGTCACTCTCAGACCCGTGGCAGAGTTGTCTACGTTCACATTTGCTTGCAAGTTTGCAATCCTCCTTCCTTGAGCATTCTTGCGGAGGTACCTTCGATACTGCGTCCTTGTCATCGCGTCAACTGCGATGGGCTGCTGACGACGGACGTCGTAGGTGTGCCAACCACCCCGTGGCACATTTGGCATCCTGAAGGTTCTCCTAACAGGTAGGGGAGCTCTCACCGGTTGGGCAAGTCCAAAGGGTATACTTTTGAAAGGTGGGGCACTTTGAGCCACCCACTGCCTACGCTGCCCTCTTCCCCACGCAGGTGCACGTACTCCTTCGACGCTGCATTCATACGAGGGATACCTCGGTTTGAACTGTCGTGGTCCCAATCTCTGGTGGACCGACTGGCTCGGTCCCGCTCCCCCAATATTTAGCTTCCCGCGACACTGGGCACACAACTTTTCTTCCTCAGTTGGGTCCATGCGTGGCCCTTCCTGCACTTGTGAGGATGAAGCACCCTGGGCCACATCAGAACTACCAGTCGGCGGCGGCGATGTATCCACCACCAGCTTAAAACGTGGCAGGTTGATCTTAGAGAAATCGGGATTGACCATGTTAACGTCGACAACGTTTGGGAACGGGTCTGTGTCAACGATCATGGCCTCCTTCCTCGGCTCTGGGAACTTGAACCGACCTTTCTCAATTGCATCCTGCACAACGTTACGAAACACAACACACATGTTAGTTGAATGAGATGCACTGTTGTGCCATTTACAGTATCGTTTCCCTTTTAATTTCTCAGCTGGCGGGATAGTATGCCCCCCAGTCAACTTAATCTGACCATCTTTGTAAAGCTGGTCGAAAATCAGTTCTGATTTTGAGACATCAAAGGAATATTTTCTAGTTTGAATCGGAGCACGATTGGGCTTTCCACCTTGTGGTTCCCCCTCGGCCTTGGCTAGAGAAGCACACACATATGGCTTCCCCTGCACAATCTCGGCCAAATCAACTTCAACCTCGTCAACATTGTTGCCGACGTTATTCACACCATAGTTTTCAAAATTAGGGAAATATTGTCCGCGAGAGCCACTTCTCTTATGTTCTTCTTCACGGAGAAGAGATTCATATCTAACGGCGCAGGACATCAATTGAAACAAATCAGAAAACTCCCTATCTTGAAACTTTTTACGAAGTTCAAAATTCAATCCACCCTGGGCCAGTTTAACAAACTCGCGTTCTGTCAAGTTCACAAAACAGCGATTTCTTGCATTTTTAAAGTTTGTTAAAAAGTGTTCCACTGTTTCTCCTGGTTGTTGGCGCATTCTGGCCAAGTCTGCCATTGTTACTTCTGGCTCAGAACGGTAGAACTGGGCATGGAACATTTGTTCCATTTGCTGCCAAGTTTGAACCGAGTTCGATGGCAAGTTGACGTACCACGCGAATGCAGGGCCGGTCAACGAGTTGCCAAACAAACGCAACTTCAAGAAATCACTCACATCACCACACTGAACCGTGAATCGTCCAACATGCTCGACGGTGGACTGATCCCCAGTCCCACTGAAGGTGATGAAATCAGGCACGCAAAAACCACGTGGAAAGGGGTAGTATCTATCAACCCAATCCGGATATGGTTTTCGATACACCGGCGGCATCGCTGGTCTAATCCCTAAACCAAACTGATCCGCCAGCATCTGTGCTACTTGATCTCGAATCGCATTAACGTCTTGCCCCCCGAGTTGCCCCCCTTGTGGTACGAATCCACCAGGATCCATGCCAAGCCCGTTTAGAGGAGGAGGGGGCACGTTTTGTGGGTAGCCGCGTGGCGGAACATGATCATTGTTGATCGTTCCTCCACCGCCAGCACCGCTCATCGGAGCCACGTAGGGTCTGGCCTCCGGAATAGTTTGTGGACCCACATTGTGCACTGGTGGCGGCTCAACACGAGTGTTAGCCGCAGTGCTGGTCTCGCCAAGATTTACCCTCGACGGACTTGTTGGGTTCACCACCGGTGTCGGCGAAACGCCCTGTCTCGGCTGAGTATCTCGGCCGCCATTGACCGGAAAGCTATTGGTGCCACTGTCGTTGTGTAACGGATTCTCGCCGCTTAACGGCAAAGCCCTTGTTTGCGGCACTGGCCTATTCAAAAACTCTCTAAAATCATTAAAATCACGTCTGTTACTTTCAAAATCCATTCTGTTTTTATCTACGACTTCAACCAATTGGCTAACACGTCTATCAATCCGAGAACTAAGACCATCAAGACGTCCATCCAAAGAGGCTAAGTGAAGTTTTACCTGTTGGTTATCAGCCATGACTTGGCGAAGCATGCGTGTTATCTCACCCTGGTTGGCAGTTTGCGCCACTGCTGGCACTTCCCCTCCGGCGTCGTTGCTCGAACCGCCGTGTGAACCGCCACTCTGGTCAGTCTCTACGTTGACCATTGGCTCTTCCTCCACTGAAGTTGGTGGAAGATCGCCCTCGTGATTCTTCCTCCGCGGAGCCATTCGAACACACGTGTCCCACCAGGTGTGCCAATTTGTTTCGTTGGCGAAACTCGCGTGTTCAATGTGCACTGGTTTTCAAGTAAAACACAAAACACACGTCAGCAAAAAAACGTCAAATATCCGCCGCCGGTGTCGGCGCCGTTGATTTGATCGATTAAAACAGAAATAAAGACGATCGTCAAATGGCCGCCGCCGGTGTCGGCGTCGTTGATTTGATCGATACACCTTTGACTTCTAATCACACAACTGTTATTCGGTTCAACACCTCTCCAAACTACGTTCGAACGAGGGTGTTCGAATAAACAGAAAATCGAACCAGGAGTGTTCTAAGTTACGTTACCTCTACTCCTATGGAGGTTCCTCTGGAGAGCTCCTCGACTACGACTACAAGCTACGATCTACGACTCTGCAAAGGAGTTCTTTGACAGAGCGGTTCTACGAACTAGAGAGAGAAAAGATAAAATCTGCGACGGTGCAGTTTGTGATTTGATTTTGCCCTCCTGAACTTCTCTCTCTTCCCAATCTTTATACTTCGCGCTTCTCCCCGTCGTAGTAACTGCCTTGGCGCCTTTGTCTCCCACGTCTTCATTCCTGTCAACCGTGCAGGTAACTTCCTCCTTGTTGCGTGATAATCACGTGCCTTCGAAACCGCTCTTGCTTTGCAGAAACTTGGCGAAACGACTTACAACCTTGTCCATGTAACGATGACGTTTCACCAATACCACGACATCGCCTTTCACCAACCAATGCCGTTTTATAATCCAACTCAACTGCCCCGACCCGGTTTAACCAACGACATTGTTAGTCCATCAGACAACGTCGTTCTCTAGTCTTGCGCTGTCGTTGGGCTTGGCGGGCCACTTTTGGCCGAGCTCTTAACCACTGCGATATCGTTTTTAATCAAACGATATCGTTTATGATACCGCGATGTCGTTGATACCTCCTGCGGCATCGTTTAATCTGCTCACGGTATCGTTTCTTTCCTTTGCGGCATCGTTTCCAACTAACGACACCGTGCTAAAAAGTCATTAAAATATTAATTAACTGACCATCACTAGTCCACGACCAACAACATCGTTAGAGCCCAAAACGGCTCCGTTTGTTTTTCCTTTTGCGACATTGTTTTTCATTAAACACTGTCGTTTGCTAGTCCGCGGTACCGTTGGGCTTACTCGCGGTACCGTTTTTAATTCCGCGGCACCGTTTTAGCTCTCCGCGATACCGCTTATCTCCATGCGGTACCGATTTTCCCCTTCCAACAAGGAATAAAAGTAATAATTAATTATAAACAAACTCCTTTTCCAATACTCAACTAACCGCGCGCCCCTTTTTTATTTTCGGTACCGTTTCCAGTACCGCGGTACCGCTGAGCTTCCTTGCGGTACCGTTTTCCTGTTTCGCGGTACCGTTTTAACTCTCCGCGACACCGCTCGACTCCACGCGGTATCATTTTTTCCCTTTCCGATAAGGAATAAAGATAATAATTAATTAGAGAAAAAACTCCTTCTCCAACACCAATAACAAAACGCGCGGCCACCTCTTATTTTCGGGCGGTGTCGCGGTACCGCTTTTCCGTTTCGCGGTATCGTTTTAACTCTCCGCGACACCGCTCAACTCCAAACGACACCGTTTTTTACCCGCGGTATCGAATTAAATGCCGAGACTAATTAATGCGGCATTTAATTCAGGACAAATTAATTTTAGGTGTCAACAAATGCCCCCCACAATTTGGTTTATAAGAATTATGAACCAAATTGTTGACATAATCCAAAACACCTAAAATGAACATTAACTTCACCTAAAATCTCCATATTGGCTATAAACTTCCATGGCTGTGATTATCACGGTTGCCAATTAAATTGGACACAAACCATTGCTTTGGTTCTTTTTGTTGGGTATGAAGAAATCCACAACCACCATAACGTTCCACACATCCAGATTGGCCTCTAAGTAATCCCATCATTATTTTGGCTCACCATTCCAGGTAATGGTGCGGCGAGGTTTAGCCAAGAATAAGTAATGTATTTGTTTCTATCTTGGCTCTTATTGCAACGAGAAGTGAACAATCCCGTTCTAGTTGGGAGCAATAATGATTAAAAAATATAATAATAATAAAACCAACCACTAACCTATTCCGGGGAGGAGACAGCCGAAGAAAGAAAGCCCCAACGCTGCTAGCATTCCAACCCAACCCAGCCATGTTTGAGTCTAAACAAAACTCGAATCATTGATTGGTTTATCGCGGAAGTGTTTTTGAAATAGTTCTTTAACCGCAAACCTGCAGAGCTGCATTATCCGACACGTAGTGGAACCGAAACGCCAACATCTTTTGTTTTTTTTTTTTTTTTTTATATTATCATCAGGCCTGCTAGCAACGGAGGCAGCGCTGAGTTTTTTTTTTCTTCACCAGAGCTGTTGGCCGCCCTCTCTCTACCCTTATTATTATTTTTTTTTTATATTTGGGTCATCAGTGCTGCTAGCAACAGCGGCAGCTATGACTGCCAATTTTTTTTTTTTTTTTTTATCAGGGCTGTCAGCCACAGCCGCAGCGCTGAGAGGCTCTTTTTTTTTATTATATTTTATACCATTGCGGCCACGCTTAGGACCTCCAGCAGCACTGTTCATCATCCAAACAATCCTGGTTTTTTTTCTCCTTCTTTTTCAATTCGTCATCAGCGTTGTTTTGGCCGCTCTTTTTTTTTTTTTTTTTGATGGTATAATAGAATAGTCATTTTGCTTCTGCAACACCGTGCCCCCCAACAATGTTGTTGATATGAAAAGAAAAATAAAGCGGCACCACTGCTACGTGGCTTAGGCAAAAATGGCCATGTTTGGTCATTATTTCCTAATCAACCATTATCAAAGAAAATTAAAAGTAAAGCCATGTTTAATCTTGGTCGATAGTGTGACTATCTCGACAACACAGTAATCGACAGACCATGTTTAACAACTCTGGCTTAAAGAAAACAATCCATTTAGCCAACACAACCATACACCAACAGCCTTGACTAGGTTAATGCAATGCCGATGGCATCTACGTAGCTCAGTCATGCATGAATCTAAAATAAAAAGCGATAAACTGGCTATACAACATGATTGCAACATATCAATGTTTTATTTCCTAACATTCACACGTAAAACAATCTTTGAAGCCATTCAGAATCAGAGTTAACTCGTACCTGTCAGAGTCATGCAAGCTGGCAATATGAACGTTGAATGTGGATCATCCTTCCCGCCAAAGTTGATTTCGTCCACAATGTCGCAGACATCACACTGCTTCCTCTCCCAACTTGTTACTCGCATCCTCGCCGTTGATCGGCAACCCCTCTATCAAGGCCGTGATTTCGGCCTTCTCCACCCTCTCTTGAGGTGGCTTACTCTGATTTTGGTGGACCACCTAATGCAAGCATTGATGGTCTCATGATTTCGGACAATGGGTCCAAGCACGCCTTACTCAACACCTGTGCACTTGACACTATGACGTTGGTCGTTCCTCCATCCCCGCTCCTGATTTCGAGTGGTCCAAAATCTCCATGGTACAAATAAGCTTCAGCAACGTTGGCCCCAACGGCAAACGACACCGCTCAACTCCAAACGACACCGTTTTTTACCCGCGGTATCGAATTAAATGCCGAGACTAATTAATGCGGCATTTAATTCAGGACAAATTAATTTTAGGTGTCAAAAGAGTGCTTCCAAATCCGTATGCTATGTGTCGGGAGGATGAAGAAAGCGTGGAGCCATTTCATAACTTGAAAAAGAGCAGTTGTTCCTTTCGAACTTGACTGAGACCGACGATCAATTGCAGCGAGACCATCATTTGGCCCTACTCATCATCAATAAATAGGAAAGTAAACTGCAAGGGCATGGGTAAGGAAAACAACAGCAACCGGAGTTACAACAAGAGTGGCAATGAGAACAAGGAGATCACTTGGCCGGCGAAAATTAAGTTCTTGGCTGAGCCAAAGTTACTCCCCCTCATGTCATAATGATCGATCCTTTGTTTTATTTGTGAAGAAATGCAAACAAGAAAGAAAAAAATCGTAGGGGTCGTTTGGATAGATTATTTGGACGAGTTATTTCGGCTCAAAGAACTCATAATGAGTTATTTCGGCCGAAATAACCAGTTTGGCTTCCATTCTCTCCAACGCGTTATTTTATTCCTAGTTATTTTAGAATAACGCAAAATCGAGTTATTACAAATAACTGATGGGTAGGTGGAATTTCAGAATAACACATTCCCTTCTCTTTTCTGCCATTTTTGCCCCTCCCCTCTCTCCTCTCTCTTGTCTTCTTCCTTCTCTCTTTGTTGTTCAATCCTTTGGATTCTTCCGTCCAGATCCAAATCGACTGAACCAAAATCGATTTTGCAGGTACTTTTGGATTCCTTTCTGTTTTCTATCAGAATGAGTAGGCGGAACCCTATGTTGCGATGAACAAGCGGCAGCGAACGGAAGTCTTCTTCAGAGACTAGGAGGCGGCGTTGAGTGTACGAAGGCGAGGACAACAGAGGGTTCGAAGGCGCCTACAACAGGGGGTTTGTTGGTGACGGCGGCAGGATTGAAGATCCGACGAATCGACCTCCGCCGCCGTAGTCATCGAGGAAGAAGGAATAGTGGAAGGCGGCGAGAAACGGGCTTCTTTTGTGCATTCCCAGTTGATTATCCTAATTGTGTCTCGAATTTAACATTTCAATTAAGTTGGTGATGGATGTCAATTAGGTTAGTAATGATAATTTTGGGGTTCTAATGATGATTTTGGGGGTTCTTCTAGGAATGCAGAGTTCGTTTGGAGATGTCTGTGGGAGGAGGGGTAAACAGAAGAGTTCTAACAAGATGGGAAGGAAGCCAAAGGTGAGGGTTGATTGGTCTTTTTGTCTTTTAATTGTATAATAACTCAGGTAAAATAACTCACCATCCAAACATAATATTTAAAACCAATTACTACATTAATATCACACAAATTCCACATTTTATTTCAACTTACAAATACCACATAACCAAAAAACTCATCCAAACGAACCCTATCCATACATGCCCAACTCATGACTAGGAAGGAAAACGGTATGGAAACATAAAAAGAAAAGAGAAAACAAACCGATCGAAATCATCATGAAAATCACGACAACGAAAATATGGAGATCGCGTAGGCGGTCGATTAATTAGGATGTCGATTGCAAAGTGGTAGAGATCCAAAGTTCCGGTGCCACCGACGACGAAGATCGACGACGACGCGTGCACCTCGATCGCATGAACCAAATAGAAACATATATAATAATTTATGAATTGCAGAGGCAATCACAATTGTAGGGAATCCGGCCACAGACGCAGCCCACCTTGCAACCCCTGTTAGGATCTTGACCGTTACACAGACATGGGTACAATATTCGACACTGCTGGTCGTTGCAATTGTGATCGCAGTCCTCCTGCGTCCAGCTCCAACGACTGCCGCCGGCATTAATGCTGTAGAGTACTGTTTGCGGTATCACGACCGTTGCATCCGTTCCTCCTCCAGGGAGTCGGGAGGTCGTGTTCCGGTGGTTGCTGCATGATTTTGTTGACAGAGATTCAATCGCGTGGATCATATATCATTTACGTACTAAAAAAACATCTAACAATCGAGAATGTATCATCGTGGTGGATAATATACCATCGAACGCGCGACAAACTATTATATACCTGACGTTGGCCGGAGCATCGGCGACGTTTTTGGCCTCCGAGCCGGCATCTCTCGATGCACTTGAAGGCAAAACACCTGCATACATGCAAACCTTAATACTATATATAATATGGTGTACGTGTAGTACATGAATTAAGTGGAAATTAAGATGGGATAGTACATGGAAGGATGATGATCAGAAGCAAGACGACGACCAGCTTAGCAATAGTAGTACTGCCATGGCCGCCATGGCTGCTTTTTCTTGCTTTTCTTTCCTTCTTTTGAGATATACTTAGATTTGTTGAGCAAATGCTACTGCTGCTGCTGCTTGCATGTATATATATACTTAATTCGTTTATTAATATTCAATTTTCTTGTGCATTTGGGATCTCTTAGCTTCGGTTCGTTGGCCTCCCCGCCGTGAGATAAATAAATAAAAAACAACTAATATTACACCTTTTTTGGGAGTACATTTAGGCTACTTATGATACAACAGCCTATTTGAACGGCTCACGATGCAACCAAGTACTTGGGTAGCTTGGAAGCGTTGTAATTAGCTATGAACTTATTCTTCTTCTTCTTTTTCATTTTCTTTGTTGGAAGAACTATATATATATATATATATATATATATATATATATATATATATATATATGGTGGCGTATTCGGTGCACCCATTTTTTCTGGTGCACTCAATGCATCCGCCTCATAATCGTCATTCTGACCATGCGATTCATGTCAAAACAGTATCAATTGTTGCTTATGATATTATGAACAAGAAGCACATGAATTTGAAAAAAATTCATTCAAATTTTACTTTAATTCGAAAGATTTAGGATTTAGGAATTTAGGGTTAGGGTTTAGGTTTACAATTTGAGATTTTTGGTTGGGATTCAAAATTGAAAGTTAAGGGGTTAGGGTAATGGATTGATTTGTTATGATTCTATGTCATATCATCATATTATATTGACACATTCACCGATGTAGAATAGCATATATATATATATATATATATATATATATATATATATATATATATATATATATATATATATATATAAGACACAAGACTAGGGTTGGAGATTACACAAAGCAAAACAATACTTGTCACCATATAATAAATGTTTATCATGAATGTGTCAATTGTCATACACATATAAGACACAAGACCAGCTTCTAATCATAGTGACTCAAAAGGCGGAATGATTTATAGCCATTTCAATGACGAAATCACTTATTCTAAATATGACCGTGCTAGGTCTTGCTTTGCCCAGTACAACACGGGGTCGCTTCAACCATATTTATTTCGTGTCATGCTTAGCATGATCCATTAGTTTTTGTATGGCGTCAGGTCATTTCATTTTTCAAATTTCGTCCATGGTATATACTCTTTGCTTGAATGCAAAACACCTCCATGTATGCAAGTATTCAATACTACTATTGGTATATCTATATATTCACGCATCTATTATTCGTTCTAAAGCCAAGAAACAAGGTATCTATCCACATCTACTATTTGGTTCTCTTAGCTTTGGTTCATTGGCCTCGCCGTCATGAAATAAAAACAATTAATAATTTAATATGATACTTCCTTTTTTGGAGAGTATTTTTACGCTACTTATGATACAACAACCATTTCAACGGCTAACGATGCGACCAATAATAAGGTAACTTGGAAGCGTTATAAGCTATTCTTCCTCTTTGTAGTTTTCTTTGTTGTAAGAATTCTATAGATATATGCTATTCTACCCATAACCCAAAATGCTCACATTAGAGACCAACCGGATATAAGATATATAAGACAAGGGTTAGGGGTAAGGAAGTAGTTTGGGCGGGAGGTATGTCGATTTCGGTTTAATCGAAAATCGAATGTTCGATTAATGGTTAACCGAACCACCGACCGAAAGAGGGATCAAGGATTTGGTTATCCCAGTTTTTGGTTAAACCAAACCGCCTCCCAATATCAAAACCATCTCGCCCAGCCTCCGAACATCGACCTTCGGTTATCCCGGTTTTTGGTTAGTGGATAACCGACCGCTTTCGATTGTAACCGATCGGTAAACCGCTAACCAAGAATCGAATGTCCAACCCTAGAAGTAGTACCAGAGTCGTATATTAACATTTCTCAACTATTCGAGTAATTGAGACTAAATGGTTTTTTCGTTATAACATGTAGACTTTTGTTTGAGGAGCTTTTAAAAAGGAATGCCATATAAAAGCTCAATAACGACTAAAATTAAATGAAGAATAGCTTGATCTAGTGATAATATCACTAGCGTTGAACACTTCCATTTCCAAATTTCAGAAATAAAACCTAACCATTTGACTCGAATGTTTAATCACCGAATCATTTCATTTGACGGTTGAATCACTTTGTTATGATGCTACGTTCTGGGTCGGGGGTGGGCTACGTATACATTGTCTTTATTACGTTGGGATGGGCTTCAAATATATAAACAGAAACCAAACTTGTGGGCTGTGGCCTCTTGTGAAGTGGGCCTTTGGTAGCCCGTTTGCCTCTTAGGCGGCTATGGTATTCCTACCTGCCGCGCGCGGAACTGGCCCATACAACTCTTGCACCCTGCCGCCGGTGGCCGGCCGTTTAGGTCAATGCCGGTCAAGTGGGTGGTTTGTGATATTCTGAGTTTCTGATAGTGTAAAGAATAATTCATTAAAGATGGCAATTTATGACATGTATAATATTAATTTATTACCTACGCGTATTATTATTAATCTACAAGCTAGTTAGATTTCACCTCGTGAAATCAACAGCAAACAACAATAGTTTTTTTTTTCAAACCTTTCATTCTCCTCTTTCAATCTAAAAATCTCAGATTCGAATTCAACGACGGCATAATAAAAGAACGTACGTACTATAAGTAAGC